GAGCGGGAATGAATCTGGCACACTACAGGAACAGCAGGCAGGGCAGTGTGACTCGAATGGAGTGAGTAAGGCGGAGGAGGGGAAGCCCCACGACAGGAGCTAGATCATGAAAGGCCATGGACAGTGGTATGGGAACAAGAGTGATTGGAGCAAGGGGTGTCAGAATCTACTTTGTGTTCTTCAGTGATAACTTTGGGTACCGGATAGAGAGTGGACAACAGGAAGAGGAGTGGAAGCAAAGAAACCTTACAGGAGGCTATTATAATAGTCATAGGTTTGTTTTGTTTTATTTTTACTTTTCATTTTGAAATAACTTTTGACCCATATTCCCCAAATGTTAACATCTTTGAATATTACAGTATAAATATTAAAATCAGGAAATTAACATTGATACAATACTATTCTCTAATCCACAGACCTTATCCCCAGTTCTCCAGTTAACACACTAATATCCTCTTTCTGGTTTAGAATCCAACCCTGGACCACACACTGCATTTGGTTATAATGTCTTCTTAGTTATCTTTAACCTGGAACACTTCTTTAGTCTTTCCTTGTCTTTTAAGACCTTGGCATTTTTGAGTACTAGCTAGAATGCCCCTCCCTTGTAGAATGTTCCTTCATTTGAGTTTGTTTGATGTTTCCTCATGGTTAAATTCCGGTTATGCATTTTTTATAATACCCCACAAAAGTGCTTTTTAAGTAGTGCATCTTATCAGGGTGCACATGATTTGCCCTGTTACTGGTGACGATAACTTTGATCACTTGGTTAGGGTATGTGTCTGCCAGGTTTCTCCACTTTGATCACCCTTTGTAATTCACAAGTATTTTATGAAGAAATACTTTGGAACTATGTAAATATTGTTTCTTATTATATTTCTGCCCAATAACTTTAGTATCCATGGATGATTCTTACCAGAAACAAGCATGACTGTGGTGATTGCCAAATTGTTTTTCCTATTAGCATTACTCCTTCTACACTTTTTAGTTGGAATTGTACTATAAGGAAAAACTTTTACTTATTCCCTATTTCTGTATTCAATTGTTTATAGTGAAATAGACCCACAAGTTCTCACTAATTTCTGTGTGAGGACCATGTACTACCATTTATTTATTTTGTTGCTCGAATTGTCTCAAATTTGGCCATTAGGAACCTTTTCACATTGGCTCCTTTTTCACATGTCTCCATCATTTTTGGAGCACGTCTTAGTTTTTGGTACCACATAATGTTCCTGGCTCAGCTTGTACACTGCTTGCCGTAGCCCTGGGATCAGCCATCTAAGCAGCTCTTGTTCCTTCTATTAGTGACTAGTATTTAGAAGCCAAAATTTGGGTGCTGTGTGTGCTCATTGTTAATGAGATGTAATTGCTTCTAGGCTCTTTCAGTAGACAAAGCTAAAAAATACATGTGTACTCACACATCTATAATTATATATTTTTTGTGATTTCATACTGTAAGTCCAGTCAAACACAAAGAGATCATTCTAACCTACCTCCTCTTATTTATAACTCCTATTATAATAGTGACAAACTCAGCTCTCATTATCCTCAACACATTTATTTAGTTAATCCTAGAATACTCATAGAACAGTTCCAGAATTGTTAACACATAGCCCTGTGAAATACAAGCCTATTAATCAGAGTACAATCTTTGTGTACAAATCTTTTTATATTTAACCTTATTACCATTTTCCAAAGTTACTTTTATCACTTCTCCCCATGCCCTGCTTTAGTGTGGTTGTATCATTCATTTGTAGTACAGCTAGGTTTTTCTGTTTAGTGTATATTCCATTTTGGATCCACCAAACACAATCACACACGCCAAGTAGATTTTTATTATTTACTTGTTTTTGAGTATATAAAACATATACATGGTTCTGAAACTCAGAACCAAACAAAAAAATATATACTATGAAAAATGTCACTCTCCTTCATCCCTACTCCATTCCCATTCCGCAGCCTTCCCCACACACCTGCTATTAATAAAGCTCTTTAATATCTCATTTACCCTTATTTTCTTAGGTAAAAGGGAGCACGATGTAGATAATTCTTTTGCACTTTGTCTTTTTCACTTTACAGTACATTCTGGAAATCACTTTCTGTCCATCCAGGAGATCCTCACTCATTTTCAGAGCTACATAGTGCTGTGTGTAAGTGGTTTATTTTCCACTCTCTTACATGAGTATTTAGGCTGTTCCCGATATTCAGCTTTTTCAAACAGTGCTGAAATAAATACCCTTGTGCATGTATATTTTTGTATTATTTGGTGGGACTGGGGACAGTATCTTCAAGATTAATTCCTAGAAGTGAGATTGCAGGATTAGGAGCTAAGCTCATATGTAGTTTTGTTAGATGTGACCTACCCCACTTTACTGGTTTGCATTCTCATCAGCAATGTATATAAATATTGTTTTCTGCCATAGCCTTTACAACAAAATGTGTGTCATACTTATTAATTTTCCTTGTATGATAGTGGCTCATACAAAGATAGCAGTAGAGGTAATGAGAAGTGCTTAGATTCTGGATATATTTTGGAGGAAAAACGAATTCAAGAGTTTATGATGGATTGCTTTGGAGGCTAAATTCTGTTTAAATATTAGGCATCAAGATTAACAGTCTAAACTAGTAACTTATTTTCATTTGTATGACATTTATGAAGGTTTTGGTGACTCTCACCTTCCTCTTGGATTGGCCTTATTATAATAGTCCAAAAATACATGACATTGTAAAAGGCAATGCTAACTGCTCTAACAAGTCATTTTCAACATTTTAGTGCCTTAATGCAGCAGAAGTTTATTTCTTGCTCATGTAACAATCCAGTATAGGTGTTGCTAATTTACAGTTCTTTCCATGTGGTGATTCAGGCACCTAGGCTCCTCCTAGAATACATTTTCTCCCTGTCCTGGGGTCTTGGAGACCTCTAGGAGGAAGTGGGAAAGGGACATCTTAACTGCCTTGGCCTGGAAGAGATGCACATTATTTCTGCCTACTATCTGGTTTCCTGTAGGGGTTCTGTTGCTGAGAACTGGTCACATGCCACCTAGATGTAAGAGGGCCTGGTAAATGTGGTCCTTGCAGGACAGCAGCTTTCCAGGAAGTACGCTTTATATGAAAGAGGGAATGTGAAGTTAGATGGACAGTTAGCTAACTCTGCTACAGATATTTAACAAAATAAGCCATTTGGGTGCTGTGTGGGAACAAATAACATGTTTTGCAGAATGGAATGCATATCTTGAACTATTACATGGCCAAATACTGAAGGATGTTTAAAAATAAGTATAATCATGGAGTTTAATAGCAGGGAAAGAAGATGAGTTCTACAGGAGGAGGAAATATTTAGCATTGAAAGGCTAAGTAAGCATCACAGAGGAGTTGCAAGTAAGATTTATGGATTTAAAAAAATCTATATATATAAAAGCCTAAGTGACCAAACGACCAGTCGACCGGTTGCTATGACGCACAGGAGCTGCCCCCCGGTGGTCAGTGCTGCTCAGCTGACCTATGGCCGCCAGATGCAGGGCTCATGACTGGCCTCTGCAGCCCGGAGACCACAGCGGAGTGGCAGTGAACCTACTGAGAGGCAGCAGCAGCAGTGGCAGGCGCAGCAGGGCCTGGATGAGCAGGAGCGGCAGGCGGCGTTGGACTGCCGGTTTTGGCCCTATCCCTGCATGCCACACCAAGGGACCCCACCAGTGCATGGATTCGTGTTTATATATATTTGTGTTTTCATTCATCTGCTCCTTCATTCATTCAACAGACAACAATACGAGGGTCTGTCTGATGCTGGCTGTGTGCTTGGTACCAGTGTGTGTGTGTGTGTGTGTGTGTGTAAGGGGGATAGGGGGAGGAAGTGGTGAGGGAAGAGGAGGTGGGAGCTGCAGGGGGTATTTACCATATGTGTATTGGGGGGAAGTGATGTTAATTACATGGACAGAAATATATGTAAATAGAATGCTGTGCAGGTATAGGAAGAAGCTATTAAACACAATGCAATATAGTAGGTATTTTTTTCCTTTTGATCTTGGAAAAAAATCACAATTATATAAGGGAAACTTTTCTAAAAGCTTTTAAAGTTAAACACTTTATTAGAACAAATTGATAATCTAAAGAAGAAAAACATCAGATTGCAACAAATAAGCTATTTTATGTTGTTTTTAGAATATAGTATTTTTCTTTTTTAAAAAATAAAGAACCTTATAAGAAGAAAAAACAAGAACCTTACATTTTAGTATTTTTCAATAATGTAAAAGATGAGTGCTTTTCACATTCTTAATTATTTGTAGGCTTTGTGCTCACCTTATATGGAAAAAGTTAATATTATACTCAGTGCACAAGTTTGATTTATAAGGGTACTGCCAAAGAAGAAAATGTCGTGTTTTATAGCCACACCACTAGAGTAATGCAGTTTACAGAGTGGTCCTGTATAATTGATCCACTCTGATTCTCATATAATCAGATGTAGTAGGTGATGGCTAGGTGGTTGTTATCAGTAGTCACCGTATCACCATCCCCATTTTAAATAGTTGAGGAAACTGACACTTAAGGATGTAAATGATTTGCCCAGAATCTGTAAATTTAAATTTGCAATGAGAGAAAATAAAATTTAAGTTCAGATACTATACAACAATTAAAACAATATGGCTAATATTTCCAAACCATGCAATATTTTCCATTCTTCTTAGAATTATGACGATTGTTTAAAGGTCAATTAATTATCTTTTTCATTGTCTTTGGTCTTTAGAGAAATTTATTTTATGGTACATTTAAATTTTTGGAAACTGCAGCAGTTTCCAAAATTTTAAATGTACCATAAAATAAATTTGTGGAATTCTTATTCTCAGAGCCAATTATTCTCTCTTTGGGGACTTATTGTTTACTCTTTCAACAAAAACATTATTGTATGCCAGGAACTGCACAAGATCCTAACTCATTTGCATTCATATTTTATTGGTGAATAATATTGTTACTATGTGACTAATGTTCCACTGTGTCTGGTCTCTCAGGTGGGGTGACTGCTCTCTGTTGGGACCCGGTCCAGCGAGTTTTGTTCTCAGGCAGCTCTGATCACTCTGTAATCATGTGGGACATCGGTGGGAGAAAAGGAACTGCCATCGAGCTCCAAGGACACAAGTAAGGCTGTTGGTGCTTTGTAAAGAACTCTTGAGAAAAAATTCCCAGCTGAAAGCTGGAACAAAGGAGTGTGGTTCAGTCTCTATGGCAGGATCTCAGCATGGGAAGGAACAGGGTAGGAAAACAAATAATGGCCACTTTGATTTATGTCTGTGTGTAAGTATGTTTACTTATTTATACTGCATTCTATTCCATAGAGGATTTGAGAGCTCTTACAGAAACCATAAGATAAAATAATGGCAGCAAATAAAAAGAAGGTAAAAGTTAGAACCAGGGAGAATATAAGAGTAAAAATTTGAGCATGAAAGAAGAAGAGTTTAAAAGTACAAGCCATGAAGGCCTACAGAATTTCTATAATTGATGTCAAATGTGGCATCAAGATTCCTGATGGCTTAAGGAAAATATGTGAGATAATATTCTTCCTTACACAGTACCTTTTGTACTTCAAGTATTTATCAGGTTCTTCCTTAGGACAGATTTCAGGGGTCTGAGAGGAAGAGCTGAGAAAGCTTTCTTGTTTCCTTGGAGCAAGTTCTCAAATTTGGCCGGGCACAGACATCACTGAGAAATTGGTTTAAAGTAGTTTCCTGGGCCCTGTCTTTAAAGATTCTGGTCACTGGTCTGGAGCTGAGGGCATCTGGATGGTAACAGGCCTCCCATCCCAGGCAGCTCTCTGCTGGTGAACCTCAGATCACTCTCTGATTTGTCCTACACTGTACTACCCACAGTCCCTGGGGACAAAGTCTGAACATGCTTCAGAAAAGAACTTTAGATGTGCTGTGGAACTCTAATCTAAATTGTTTTTAACTTGTGAAGTTTTCCAAATGATATTGAGAGTGACTACAGACTTCCATAAACAAATCAGTAATGTCCAGTGAACTGATTGGTTTTAGCTCTTCCTATAAATCTGCTTAGAAACAGTAGTTTTAAAAGAGTCTCCTAAGTAGTTAAATCTACGGTTTAGGATTATTGAACTAATCCAATTTTGGAGGGCCCATGCACAGATAATTATTTTAGTGTTATAGCTTAGTGTTGGAGAAGTAGCTACTAAACCCTTCTTTCCCATTTTAGAGAGCAGACTGGTTGTCTGGGGCCAAAGCTGGCTTGTGGGGCCACTTGGACTTTGTCATCTGCTCATTAGAGGAATAGTTCCCTTATATTTCTCTCCAGACAAGGTGACATGCATCAAGATCCTGTAGGAGTTGACATCATCCATGTTAAGTGAAGAGAGAAATCACAGTCCTGTTTAATAATACTCCGTTATTATCTTATCTGCCAGATAATTCCTGTCACATAGGCTCTCTCAGAGAAATAAAATGCAGGTTTTGAATGAAGGTCAATATTTGTTGGACTCATTCAGATGAGCTTATAACTAGCTTTGCTTTTACACAGTGGTTGATGAAGACTGCGAGCAGTCTTGAATGACCAGTCCACAGGGTGGGAAAGTGTCACAGCGCTCCATGCCAGCATTACTGTGTGCTGAGCGCCCTGTTGGAGAGTGTTGTTGTAGGAAACTTACACCTACAGTTTGGTAAGAGGAAAAACTATAAAGTTGAGGTACAGTCTCTCAGTCCCAGAGAAAGGAAACCTAAACTAATAGGTTCTCTAGTTTCTAACAAATATAAACATGGTCTTTTAGAAAATGGAACAGATCATACTTGGAGTTTATCCTGAGAGGATCACACCCTTAGAACTCAGCGAGGCAGGTTGATGAGATTAGGAGCCACCAGTAAGAACAGCTTTAGATAGGAACAATGGCAGAAGGCCTTTGTTAGGTACTTTATTTAACTCAAGTTTAGTAATAAAGTCAACTCTATGAGGAGCTCTTAGGTCTTCACCTGAGAGGGGTTGCCTTGGTGTCAGAGAGCTAGAAATAAACTTCCTCAGCATCAGTTGGTGTCACCCTGTTGGAGTGGTTTAGTTGTGAGTGCCTGAGGGGAACCATGGGAACTGCTCAAGTAGGAGGATGGGATTCACAAAGGAGGAGGAAGAAAGAACGGGCCAGGGCATCAGGCAGGAAAGGAGAAGTCATAGGCCCGCTTTCACAGCAGCCTTTCCTTTGCCCTGAAAGTTGGCCACTGGATCAGTGTTCAGTGACTCTTGTATGTATATAATGCCTAATCCTATCTAATAAAGAGGGAATATGCTAATTGACCCTCACACTGTCGCAAAGATGACAGTGCCCACAGCCAATAAGGAGGGAATATGCTAATTGGCTTCCCCACCCTCAAAGATGCAGTTCCCACAGCCAATAAGGAGGGGATATGCTAATTGACTGCCCCACCCTCAAAGATGGTGGTGCCCACAGCCAATAAGAAGGGGATATGCTAATTGGCTTCCCCACCCTCAAAGATGCAGTTCCCACAGCCAATAAGGAGGGGATATGCTAATTGACTGCCCCACCCTCAAAGATGGCGGTGCCCACAGCCACAAGATGGCGGCGCCCAGTCCCCTAAGCCCCGCCCAGGTGGCAGGCATGCAGAAAGGCCGGGCCTGCCCCGAGCACCTGCTTCTATAGTCCCCCAGTCCCCTCAGCCCCCCAACCGCCCAGGGCCAGCCCAAGACGCGGGCAAGCCTCAGATGGGGGCTGCCAAGCCACCCAGGGCCACCCGAGGCTCAGGTAATCAGGGCCGGCCAAGGCTTGCGCTGCCGGCAGTGGCAGCAGCAGAGGTGTGATGTGGTGTTGCCTTCCCCTGGTCACCGGGTCACCTCCTGCCCCTGAGGGCTCCCGGACTGTGAGAGGGGGCAGGCCAGGCTGAGGGTTTCCCCCTCCAGTGCATGAATTTTCATGCACCGGGCCTCTAGTATTTAGTAAAGAGCTTTCAAAACACACAGGCACCCCTCCCCCAGTTTAATCTTATGATAACCGTCTGAAAGAGAAAGCAGATATTTTTTTAATCTTTATTGTTGAGAGTATTACAGATGTCCCTCTTTTTCCTCCCCATTGCCTCCCTCCACCTGGTTCCCACCCTGCCTCAGGCTTTGCCACCTTATTGTCTGTGTCCACAGGTAATGCATATATGCATATAAGATCTTTGTTTAATCTCTTCCCACCCCCCCTTCCTTCTGAGAATCGTCAGTCTGTTCCATTTCCATGCCTTTGATTTTATTTTATTCACCAGTTTATTCTGTTCATTAGATTTCTTATTCATTTATTTTGATTTTTAGATTCAGTTGTTGATAGGTATGTATTTATTGCCATTTTATTGTTACTATTTTTTATCTTTTTCTTTTTCCTTCAACATTTCATGTAATACTGGTTTGGTGGTGATGAACACCTTTAGCTTTTTCTTGTCTGTTAGGCTCTTTATCTGACCTTCAATTCTAAATGATAGCTTTGCTGGGTAGAGTAATCTTGGTTGTAGGTCCTTGCTATTTATTTATCACTCTGAATATTTCTTGCCACTCCCTTCCAGGCTGCATAGTTTCTGTTGAGAAATCAACTGACAGTCATACGGGTGCTCCCTTGTAGGTAACTAACTGCTTTCCTCCTATTTTTAAGATTCTTTTTGTCTTTTTCTCTTGGCGTTTTAATTATGATGTGTCTTGGTGTGGGCCTATTTGGTTTCCTCTTGATTGGGACTCTCTGTGCTTTTGGACTTGTAAGTCTTTCTTTAACCAGGTAGGGGAAATTTTCTGTCATTTCTTCAAATAGGTTTTCAATATCTTGCTCTCTCTCTTTGGCACCCCCATAATGCAAATGTTGGTACGCTTGAAGTTGTCCCAGAGACTCCCTATACTACCTTCATATTTTTTTTTTTTTTTGCTCTTCTGATTGTTTTTTGCTTCCTCGTATTTCAATCGTTGATTTGATTCTCGGATTCCTCTACTCTATTGTTGAATCCTTGTATATTATTCTTTATTTCAGTCAGTATGTGCTTAATTTCTGACTGGTCCTTTTTCGTGTCTTTGGCATTATCACTAAGATCCTTGAAAGTCTCACTAAGTCCCTTAAAGGTCTCATGAAGATTCTTGAGTAGCCTTATCAGAATGGTTTTGAATTCTGTATCCAATAGTTTGCTTGCTTCCATTTCTTTCATTTGTGACATGTTTCTTTGTCTCCACATTTTGGCTGCTTCCCTGTGTTTGTTTCTATGTATTACGTAGAGCTGCTATATCTCCTGGCGTTGGTAGAGTGGCCTTGTGTAGTATGTGTCCTATAGGGCTCAGTGGCTTAGCCTCCCCAGTCACCTGAGCTGAGCACTCTAGGTGAGCCCCTTTGTGGGCTGTGTGCACAGTCTTGTTGTAGTTGAGACTTGATTGCTGTTGGTGTCACTGGGAGGAATTGACCTCCAGACCAATTGGCTGTGAGGACCAGCTGGGACTACAATGGGAGAGCTGCTGTGCAGGAGACACCCCTATGGAGCAGGACTTGCTTCAATGGTGCTTTGGTGCTCACTGAGTCTTCCCCTTGAGAGTGTTGCTTACCAATGTGTAGAGTTGTAATCTGGTGTGATCTGATGCTGTCCACTTGGTGCACTGGCTCTTGGATCTCCAGGGAGGTGCAAAGTTAGCCACTGCCTGGGGCCACCCATCAGGAGCTACAGAAAGATCTGCAGATTCCTCGTATTTGTATCAGTTTTAGAAGTGCCCCAGCAAGACCAGGCTCTGAAGCAAGGCAGGCTCCTGCTAGTGCCAGGTCTTGGGCCTTTTATTGATGGATTTGGTACACAAACAAGCCCAGCTCTTGCTTGTTTGAGAGATTTTAGCAAAGTCTGAAGCCTGAGCAAGGACAGACCATTCATATGCAAAAGCTGCTGCACACAGGTTGGGTGGGGCTGCAAATTGGATAAGGTGGGGTCTCAGGGAATCACCAGGGTGGAGCAAATAGATGTGGCTGCTAGTCATCCCTATTACCGGGAGCTCCCAGCACAGGAACAATGACCCTGCAAGCACCTGCATCTGGGAGAAAGCTGGCATCTGAGTTCCTGCTCAGATGCCAGACAATCCAGTTCCTCTTTGTATGTGTCTGGGTCACCCAGAGCCTTGCCCTGGCTCTG